TTTCACCTGGGCCAGCCAAGCCCCCGTGGGTTCTATGCTAGGACTCTGCCCGTTCATAAGCCCCGGTAACCATACCAGAGCATCACTTGGACTTGTCCCGTCCCTGCAGGGCTACGAGCCGACAATATTCTACCCCAAGCGGCCCAGTAAAGCGCTCTTTGAAGGGCTGACGACTCAGTGCCAGAAGATGGACATCCCCTTTCTCTCAGAGTTCCCGGCGGAGGTAAGGTGCATCACCGGGAGAGCTAGACCACCCGGCATCATTCCTGTCCTTGTACCTTTCATGTCTCCGGTTATAGACCCCTCCCTGCGCAACATAGGGGAGGGGGAGTCTCCGCCCCAGAGGCAGAGCAAGCATCTGTTCCCCTTCCCGCAAAACGGGGACAGTCCCCAAGGGATTCCTAGGTTTGATGCTGAAGCCAAAAGACACTTGGAAATGGCTGAGTCTGACCTGCTGTGGCGAGGTTAAACATGAATATTGGCCAAGTGCTTTGAGAGCCCACGGACGGATCGCTAATGAAGGGGGAGCAGAGAGGAAAGCTTACAGGGGGGAAACCTCTTTTTGTCCTGGGTTTGTACCATGCCGAGCACTGCGGGGGGAGGTGCCACTGCAAATCAATCCAGTTCGAACGTAAACGAGCAACGGGGGTTTATTACTTGTTTATCAGCATCGCTGTGGTGCTTCTGGCCGCAGCGTCTGGGGACCCCTGTAATAGAGGACAGATTGCCTGATGCTGTTTGCCTGTTGGCTGGAGAACAGGGAGGGTGTTTGTAAATGACGGGGCTGTCTTCTGTTTACACTGGTGTAAATCAGGAGTCACTCCCTTGAAGTGAGTGGGCTTGGACAGGTGTAACCGTGTTCGCCTCCTACAAAGATTCTGGGCTTGATTCTCCTCTCCCGTACGCTGGTCTAACTTCAGTGGGGTGACTCCTGCTTTATGCCCGGATGAGCTTAGGCTAAAAGGCCCTTTGTACTTAGTGCAGATTTACCCCGTAAATCTGTGGTTACTCCGCATTTACGCCAGTCTGAGAGCAGGGTCTGGCCCAGCTGGAAATGCTGGGACTGGAAGATTTCCCAGGGCCCGAGATGTACCCAGGAGTGTGCCCCTGCCAGGGGGAGGAGCCTGCTGTTTTAACCTCTGACCCGCGTGTGCCTGCAGGCCATGCTGATCGATGAGCTGTATGGGCTGGTGGTGGATGCGATTTTCGGGTTCAGCTTCAAGGGAGCCGTGCGGGAGCCTTTTGGCAGCATCCTCAAGACTCTGGAGCAAGTCACCATTCCCATCGCCAGCATCGACATCCCCTCCGGTTGGTTCCATCCCCTACGTGCTCGTTGGCCTGTGTTCACTTTTCTCTCTGGATGACACACCCAGCAGGGGTCTCGAGTTCCCCCTGGGCTTCTAGGGTCCTGGTGGCATGCTGGGCTGTGCACGGAGGTCACTGGTCAGTACAGCAGCAGACCTGCTGGTTTCTCACAGGCTTCTGCTGCAAAGGTTTGTACTAACCATATAAACTCCCAGGGCCACCCAAATCCCAGTTCTCAGCTATGGCCGGTGCCTGAGGTGTCAGGGGAAGACAATTGTCTCCACCCCAGTAGCCCCCTCAAGGTGCAGAGCTGGTAGGGCAGGGAAAGGGCGCATTCCTTCCTGACCCTTACCAGCGTGTGCCCTGAAGCATGACATTGTCCATGTGGTTTTAACTTCCTCGTGACAGATGGTAGTGCTCATGCAATTGCACGAGCCCTTTTTAAAACATACCTCCAGTGAGTGAATTCACAACTGGTATGCACTTTGTCAGCCGTCGGGAGAGTAGGGATGTGAAAAGTCGTGTAATATGGTAGCCATGTGACCGCTAAAAACTCTTAGTGGTTGCCTGCGCTGCGGGTTCTGCAGCGTGAAGCCTAGCTTTGTACTGCCGAGCCCGCCGCGAAGCTGCCTCTTTAGGAACTGGCTGAGTTTAACCATTAACAGATAAGCCTATTGGTTAAACGGTTAATCGAGTAAACCAGGGGTGGGGGACCTCTTCTGGGTCGGGGGCCACACAAGCGAAGCAAAAAAAATACAAAAAACTCCTCACTGACATGGCCCCCGACTGAGGAAGCAGATGCTCCCCATGCTCTCTTCCTAGGGGGTGCTGAGGCTAGTACATTGTGTGTGCTCCAGCCCCATGGTGGAGTAACATGGGATCCCCAATGCTGGACTGGGAACCCTGAGCCTCGGGGGCCAGACAGGCAAGTTGGGCTAGATCCAGCCCCCGGCCCTGAGATTCCCCGCTCTGAATTAAATGGTAACGTCCCTGGTAATTCAGCATGAGGTTACGGTGCAGAACTGAGACTCAGGAGAAGGGGCATCCACTCCCAGCTCCCTGGAACCTAGGGCAGATGTCTCTGTGCCTCAAATCCCCAGCTGTAAAATAGGGATAAATATTTATTTTCTCCCCACGCTCTTCTGTCCCCTGTTCAACATGCCAGCTTTTTGAGATTGCCTCTCACTAGCACAAAGCAACAGTTAGCGGCACCTGCGTGAGAGATGGCTGGTGGCACCGAGCTCCCATGTCAAACTCGCTGCCCTGCTTTTCGTGGGTCTGCCGTCTTCGCAAAGGAGCCGATTTCAGCTGGGGTTTCGAGGGGAAGAGACAGGGAGTCGCTCCAGCACCATAGAGTGGTGTGAAGGGAGCCACGAGCCTTGTGCATCCCATGGGGAACTGTTCATGCCCTTACGATTCGTGCCAGGGAAGCTCTTTGGGCCCTGTCTGCTGTAGGGAGGGAAGTGAGGAGGCGTGGGATTTATTTGGTACTAATTGTTTCCCCCTTGGTCTCTTTCAGGCTGGGACGTGGAGAAAGGCAACCCCGACAGCATTCAGCCCGACATGCTCATTTCTCTCACTGCCCCCAAGAAGGCTGCGCAGCATTTTGCCTGCTACAGCAGCAGACCTGCTGGTTTCTCACAGGCTTCTGCTGCAAAGGTTTGTACTAACCATATAAACTCCCAGGGCCACCCAAATCCCAGTTCTCAGCTATGGCCGGTGCCTGAGGTGTCAGGGGAAGACAATTGTCTCCACCCCAGTAGCCCCCTCAAGGTGCAGAGCTGGTAGGGCAGGGAAAGGGCGCATTCCTTCCTGACCCTTACCAGCGTGTGCCCTGAAGCATGACATTGTCCATGTGGTTTTAACTTCCTCGTGACAGATGGTAGTGCTCATGCAATTGCACGAGCCCTTTTTAAAACATACCTCCAGTGAGTGAATTCACAACTGGTATGCACTTTGTCAGCCGTCGGGAGAGTAGGGATGTGAAAAGTCGTGTAATATGGTAGCCATGTGACCGCTAAAAACTCTTAGTGGTTGCCTGCGCTGCGGGTTCTGCAGCGTGAAGCCTCGCTTTGTACTGCCGAGCCCGCCGCGAAGCTGCCTCTTTAGGAACTGGCTGAGTTTAACCATTAACAGATAAGCCTATTGGTTAAACGGTTAATCGAGTAAACCAGGGGTGGGGGACCTCTTCTGGGTCGGGGGCCACACAAGCGAAGCAAAAAAAATACAAAAAACTCCTCACTGACATGGCCCCCGACTGAGGAAGCAGATGCTCCCCATGCTCTCTTCCTAGGGGGTGCTGAGGCTAGTACATTGTGTGTGCTCCAGCCCCATGGTGGAGTAACATGGGATCCCCAATGCTGGACTGGGAACCCTGAGCCTCGGGGGCCAGACAGGCAAGTTGGGCTAGATCCAGCCCCCGGCCCTGAGATTCCCCGCTCTGAATTAAATGGTAACGTCCCTGGTAATTCAGCATGAGGTTACGGTGCAGAACTGAGACTCAGGAGAAGGGGCATCCACTCCCAGCTCCCTGGAACCTAGGGCAGATGTCTCTGTGCCTCAAATCCCCAGCTGTAAAATAGGGATAAATATTTATTTTCTCCCCACGCTCTTCTGTCCCCTGTTCAACATGCCAGCTTTTTGAGATTGCCTCTCACTAGCACAAAGCAACAGTTAGCGGCACCTGCGTGAGAGATGGCTGGTGGCACCGAGCTCCCATGTCAAACTCGCTGCCCTGCTTTTCGTGGGTCTGCCGTCTTCGCAAAGGAGCCGATTTCAGCTGGGGTTTCGAGGGGAAGAGACAGGGAGTCGCTCCAGCACCAGGGGGGGGAAGGGAGCCACGAGCCTTGTGCATCCCATGGGGAACTGTTCATGCCCTTACGATTCGTGCCAGGGAAGCTCTTTGGGCCCTGTCTGCTGTAGGGAGGGAAGTGAGGAGGCGTGGGATTTATTTGGTACTAATTGTTTCCCCCTTGGTCTCTTTCAGGCTGGGACGTGGAGAAAGGCAACCCCGACAGCATTCAGCCCGACATGCTCATTTCTCTCACTGCCCCCAAGAAGGCTGCGCAGCATTTTGCCGGCCGCTACCACTTCCTGGGGGGCAGGTTTGTGCCAATGGCGCTGCAGAAAAAATACTCGCTTCATCTGCCACCCTACCCCGAGACTGACTGCGTCCTGCAGTTGGCCTAGTGGCGGGGAGGCAGCGAAGGAGAGGGGTGATTTGACTGCAAAGCGGAAATGAGTCCTGCCCAGCATAACTGAATCAAACAGGCGCTGGAGTGGGGAGGGGGGGTTTGCTAGTTAGAAGGGGAGGAGCAAGGGTGGGGCCTAGTTTTGCTGTGTCAGGAAGGCCTGGTTCTACAAAGCGCCCTTTGCCAGGTGCTGATCTCAGGGGAGTGGGCGCTCAGCACCTCGTTTGGTCTCTGTCCATTTGGCACCCGGAAATCCCCTGCATCGCTCTGCCTGGCAGGCCCAGAGCCAGCTGTGGTAGGCACATGGGTGCAGGGGACTGTGTTTGGTTCCACCCACTGCCTTTCGCAGTCAGCGGCAGGCTCTGCACGGACTTTGGATCAGACCCAAAAAGTTCATTAAAACAAGGGGGGTGTTGTTGGGAGTTACTGGAGGCTAGCAGTGAAGATCTCTCACCAACTGTGTTTAATACTTCCCCAGGCTTCACAGCTGCTGCCGGCCCCGATGTGTATATAAAATCAACCTTTGTTTTTCTCTGCAATAAAAGATTTATTGACATTAAAAATGTCTCTGAAGGGGCCCTTCCTTCCCTCCCTCTCCTCCCAGCCATGCCTGTGCAACTGGCCTAGGCTGCAATCACACCAGAGGGGAGGGCGGGGAGGTTTGAAATCCTGCCCCACACTATGAACAGCAAAACCCCTGCCGATGTCACAGACGGCTCAGTGGGAAGCAACAGACCCAGGGGATTTCTCACGAGGCAAGGACTGGAGAACTGAGTTCTTTGAGAACAGCGGATTCCCCTGCAAGGTGGAGCCGTGACCCATGCAGCGACTGGTATTTTTTAGTGTCCTCTCTGTGCCGCTGCCTTATCCAGGATCAAAGGGTTTGTCCACACATGTTGCTGGGAGGCTGCTGGGCATATTCCTAGTTCGCTAGGCAGTGACCCGCTGTGCGAATCAGCCCTCAGAGCATCCGCCTCCTGTGAGGCCGCAGCAGTGCATCTCCAGGGGTAGGCAGTGGCAGAGAGGTCCCGCAGCAGCAGCTGAAAGCGTGGCGGGCTCATAGCAAGCCTGAGGGGTAGCACCCCCCCAACAGTACAAACCCTCGTTCGCTACACATGCCCCTTCTGCTTTTTCTTCTTTTTGGTTCTTTTCCTGGGGCTGTCCCCCTGTGGGCCCTCCAGCTGCCTTGCTCCCGCCATCAGCTGCTCCCTCGAGTCCAGCAACTCACTTTTCTCACTATCCTCCGCCCTTTCCTCCTCTCTCCCCTCCTCTCTCCTCCTCCGATTCTTCTTCTTCCTTTTCCTGGCCCTTTGCTCCTCTTCCCCTGCTGGTTCCGGCCTCCCGCCAGCCTCAGCACAGCTGCCTCTCTCTTTGGATCTCCTCCTCCTCTTCTTCTTCTTGGCTTTTCCCTCAGCCAGGGTGCTGCCTTCCATGCCCGGGGCGTTCACTGCTGCCTCTTGCTGCTGCATCGGGGTGCTGCCCATCTGCTCCTCCTGGCTGTACTTCGCCAGGAAGGCTTGTTCTTGCTCTTCCAGCCGGGCCAGCTTGGCTCTCATGGTCAGACCATGACGGGCTCCCCTGGGAGGAAGGTGCGGAGAGGGAGGGTTAGCGACAGCTTATGCCTAGACCAGGGACACCTGCAACCGCCGTCTCATGAGTCATCCCTCCAATGCAGCTTCCCTGCTTCACCTACAGTTGCAGCCAACAGATGGATCCCTGGGATGCTGGGAACTAGCCAGTTTTCTAGGGCTTGTGGCAGACACGGGGGGAGGTGGGGGTGCATGCATGAGTCACACCTTCTCCCCCACCCCCCGCCCCGGGCCTGAACTGGGCTCCAGCTACCCTCATCCGGCCACAACTCCTGGGGCAGAGGAGCACTAGCCCTGCAAACTGGAGGGGACGCCAACGGAGGAAGAAGGAAGTTGGGGACAAGCATATTCTGCTCCGTGATGAGGGCCGGGGCCAAGTGTCAGAGTTAGAACCGGTCCTGCTGGCAGGGCCTCCTCATTTGCAAGGATGGGACCACGTGCCGCCAGGGGGCGGAGCACAGGGGCAGAGCTCCAGCTCCACACTCAGAGGCGGGGACGGGTCCCTGCGACGTGGAATCAAACAGAACCTGGCCCCCTGCTCAGCCTACGTTGGAGAGGCCCCCTCCCCCCTCCAGCCCTATAGTCCGGGAGCCCCGAGCTGCAGGAAAGGCAGGTCATTTAGTAGAACCTCCCCCGCCCTACAGACACCAGGGCTGTATAGGGTTCTTGGAGGGGAAGCACATTCAGAGTCGGCATTTTAAACCGGGTTTTACATCCCTCGCCTGCCCCAGCCACAGCATTCTGCCTACTCACTTGTGCGCAGTGCGGCCACCGCAGGCCTGGACCAGCTCCTCATCCGTCAGCCTGGGGGAAGAGAGATACGGGAGAGTTTGGTGCTAACCGCTAGAGGGACCTGCTGAGCTGGACATCCAAGGGCAAAGACAACTTTCAACAGCTCCGCCTGCCATACGTATCAGGCAGCAGCAGGGGGGAAGATTCCATGAGTGGAAAACAGGAGGTTCCGGTTTTCACCGGTGTTTTGCCCACAGATGCCTCGATGGTTTGCTGGGAAGCGAGCAGATGCGGCTTTCAAAAGTTACCGCGTTACAGACGCACAGACAAGTTACAGACAAAGGCCTGCTGGGGAGTCTGCACTTCACCCCCTGGATGTGGGGGTAAGGAACCTGGATAGAGGCCTTGTGCCTCGAAGCCACCCATTTAACGCTTTGCCCATGGCAGCAGGACATGTAGTTGGGTCTCCCTCCAGGCTCCACCCCCCTGGTCCCTCAGAACGGAAATAATTAGAGGCTGGCTGGCGAGTGGGGAAGGCTATCCCACCGCAGACACCAACAGAACTGATGTGGGGGTAAACAGCACGCTCCCAAGTGCTGCTCTGTTCAATGGACCCCTGCTCTGTGTTCTACCCAGCCCCTAGGCCAGGGGTGTCCAAACTTTTTTCAAAGAGGGCCAGATTTGATGAAGTAAACATGCGTGAGGGCCGACCATTTTGCCTGACATTCTTTGAACCATTAAAATTAAATGCAAATTAACTATTTTATGCAAAGTTTATTGCAAACGGCAAACGACATAACACCAACTATACATGTTGGGCTCGTCTACACTGGCCCCTTTTCCGGAAGGGGCATGTAAATTTCACCTATCGTAGTAGGGAAATCCGCGGGGGATTTAAATATCCCCCGCGGCATTTAAATAAAAATGTCCGCTGCTTTTTTCCGGCTTTTAAAAAAGCCGGAAAAGAGCGTCTACACTGGCCCCGATCCTCCGGAAAAAGTGCCCTTTTCCGGAGGCTCTTATTCCTACTTTAAATATCCCCCGCGGATTTCCCTACTACGATAGGTGAAATTTACATGCCCCTTCCGGAAAAGGGGCCAGTGTAGACGAGCCCAACATGTATAGTTGGTGTTATGTCGTTTGCCGTTTGCAATAAACTTTGCATAAAATAGTTAATTTGCATTTAATTTTAATGGTTCAAAGAATGTCAGGCAAAATGGTCGGCCCTCACGCATGTTCACTTCATCAAATCTGGCCCTCTTTGAAAAAAGTTTGGACACCCCTGGTATATAGCATTCCTTTGTATCAGGGAAGATCTAGAATTCAGAATGACCTTAGAAAAATCAATTAGCTGAATGTGATGAGATAAAGAATTCTCACTTTCCTCTGTTTATAGCATGTTCCTCCTCTAGATAGTCTTGAATGGAAAAACAATGTGGAACAACTTGGTATTCACATGTTCTTAGAGCTTTACAAAAATCTTCAGCATTATTCAGCAATCAAGTATAGCCGCCAACAATATCTTAATACTAGACAGTTTGGTACTTGAATACTAAAGTGAGTAACAGACCATAGATGTTGCATCTCATCTGTGTTTTTACAGTAAATAAAGCATGTATATCTTTAATCTGTCACTCTCCTCTTTACACTATATTAACATTTTCCCTTGTCTTCTATAAATCTAAGTCCAATAGAACTGTCAACCCTTTCTAAGGATTATTTTGAAGATGGACAGCTCTGACATTATGAATTAATTTTTTTTTATCAGCTTGTTTATCCAGTAAAACAAAAAATTGTTTATATTAGCATTGAAACAAGCTATGTTAGAATCAAAACCCTGCTGGAAAATATACATAATCCAATTCAGTCCCTACATTTTTCAGAATTAAAAAAACTTAAAATTAGTCTCAGCTGGAAATTGCTGCTCTCAGAATCTCTAAATGTTGTTGGTCAGGACTTCATAGACACTAGAGAACCTGACATTAGCTTCCCAATGCTAATCTTTGCTCCATGATACTATGAGCTAGATGAATAATTTTAAAATGCTCTGTGAACGTTCACGTGAAATATTAAATGAATTCACTATATATATTTTTTCAATAGGATATATATATATATCCCATTGAATATTTACACAAGGGAAACAGTCCAATTTACTAGCACAAAATCCACAGAAAGTGAATTTCAAAGCAAGGTTCAATTGGAAATGAGTGCGCATTTTTTTTGCTCCTAATTAATGCAAATATGGCATTTGCTCCCATATGTAAGCCTTGCCCTCAGTTGCACCTATTCAGTGTCCATTTGCTTGGTTGCCCACTTATAACTGAGGGCAGAATTTGAACCAGCCTGCTGCCATATATAGGAGTGATCTAGTGGCCTCTCTCTTCAGTGGGAACAGAATTGGGTTGCCAGATCCGGCTCCTCATCATCACTATTCATGGGAAATACAGGTGTCTGTTAAGCTAGCTATGAATACTCCAGT